TACACATACAATATACAATATACAAGACATTGAAAAGCATATCACAAGAATTTCACCAATAAAGTTTGAAAAGCTTGATAAATTTAGGGAGAAACATTATATTCCTTAATTTACCAGGTAGTCAAGAGTATTCCATACCTTTGTGCCTTTGTAAAGGAAAGAACCTTGATATTTAGATGTTTAAGCAAGGGGCCATTGCAAAACATCTCTATGTCTGGTATTGAAGGAATGATATCAGGGGTAAAAAAATAAATTCATCCAAAAGATCATGGAGGCATTGTAAACAAACTCATTTATTACTAATCATTACATTAATACAAGTCAGTATAGCTGGGAGTTTCACTACTGACCCTTAGTTTACACATTCTTCATAACGTTTTCTTTATGTTACCCATGATACTGATAAGGGAAACTTGTTTAACAATCAATGCAACAATAGCTTCTATTGTTGGTGATCATTTCCTTTACTCTCTTGAACTTGATGTTTTGTTCAGCAGGGAAACTGTAAGGAGAGATGAGATTCTAATCAGAGTTGATGTTTTCCCTCCCAACAGGGATTGATGGACTCTTTCATGGGACGGATACATGTAGAGCTTTACAAGAAAATAAAAGAGGTTTGGAATTCTGTAAATTTTGTCATAATAGTCATCATAGCTATTTTGTTTTACAATGTAAATTATGGGTATAGATGATTGTTTTTTTTCTCTTCTCATCATTGTATTCATTTGTCAGAATGGCTCTGCCAGAAGTCTGAGAGCTGCTTTATCTAGATTTGGAGACTTGTGCCATTTGATTAGGCCACAGAAATGCCGGTAGGTGTGTTTTAGTATTCACCAATACTATATTGTCAAAAATAGTTTATTGCTTATATAAGTCTGTTTTTTATCTCAGCTAAGGGAATCCTCATATACCTTTTAGAATCAATAGGCAAACTCTTTGAGTATTGTGCTCAAAGTCTTGTTAGCAAATTCAAGATGTTACCGTTACAACTGTAAATAGTATTTATTTACTTCTTTAGTCCAGGGTTGGTGTAGCTTCATACTATAAATAGTAACTTAGGGAGTGATTTTAAACCTTAAGTGGCACAGGATTTGTATGTGTCATGGATAACCTTGAAATTTATAGAAGTCTTCAATGTTGGATTCCATGCAGACCTGTTAGGTTCTGGGCACTGAAAATGGGTTATAGAAAAGCAAGGAAATTATAGAAATTTTATTGTTGTGAGAAACAAAGAGAAAAATACTGTACCTACATTACATTACTCTAGAAAATAGGTTGCAGAAAACACCTGAAAGGCCTGGGAAAGGTTGTGGAAATAACTAATGGAATTTTGTGATGTTGAAAGAGTATGCATGCTGTGGCACCATTAACTTAAGGGAATTTTTTATCAAGATTTCATCAATGTCCAGAGTGTAGTGTGGCCTAGCTAGTGAAAAAATTTTGGAATCATTATGTTGTGTCTTTGGGGGTACATGTTCAATTGCATTGAAAGTTGCTCTTTCTACAGTGTACGAGTCTCTGCAAATTTGAGTGGCAAGGATTGGCGCATACCATCCAGCTGCTGAAAATCTCCCATGATTTTGATCATTTTTTAAAATGCATTTGTTTCTTTCAGGCCATTTATTGCAAACTTGTTGCCATGCATAGCTCGTGTAAGCATACGCACTGAGGAGACAATCCAGGTAAAAAAGTAGGAGAAACTCTTTTGAGGTGAAAATATATAAAGGTTTTGGGTTCCACATCACTCTACTTAGACCTGGTTAACTGATTTTCTTTTATCTCTAGGAAATACTTGCCATTGTCATGCAGAAGATAATGAGTGTTCTGGGAAGTTTTACAGGTGATAAAGAGGTTAAGGTTAGTTTTTCCTTATTACTTGCCTGTAGCATATTCATTTGATTCATTATAAAGAGGTGAAAAAATTATTTTGATCACTTTCAAGATCTTGAAGGTGGCTCTTTATAAACATTAATTTTAGTAATTTTTTTTATCAACAGCAATTACTGAAAACATTTTTGCCAAACTTGCAATCCTCATCAGCAACAACCAGACGAACTGCTGCAAGTGGCCTTGTTGTTATCTGTCAATATTCACGTAAACCAAGTTTCTTTTATGAGTGGCTCCTGAACATTTTGTTAGGTGAGTTACTTTCTCTATACTCTATTGGTTAAAATGTTAAGCCAATATGCTGTGAGCTGAAGGGAAGAATTGAATAACCATACTAAGAAAAACATTAAGCAAGAAAGTATAGGGCAAAATAAAGATTGTTACGCGTTAAAGGGCCAAGAAAGAGGTGATTTTTGGCCAATAATTCATAACTAAAGACACTCTCGTCCATGTTGCATCATACTACACTGTTAATTTAAAACAAAGAAGGCCAAATACTGTATCTTCCCACTTCTTTCATGGCTATTTTGTTAGCACAATAAACCTTGTAGCCTGGATTGCAAGAAAATGTGAATGTCTGAAAATGGTACCTTAAGTTTATGGGCCCACAGCAGTGTTTTAGAACTTAAATCTAAGGAACTTTAGATTGTACATGTAGTTCAAGAACCAGTCAATTCTTTATAGTTTTCTCACCTGGTATTTTTTAATTTGAATCTCATGACCATCAACATCTCTTTATTGGAAAGTAAACACATTGCATACAAAAACCAGCTTTTCAGTGAAGTGTGATTTTTAAAGTGAAGCATGGAGTCCCAGTCACAACTTTGGGAGAGTACTGTCCTATTAAAATAACACTGAAAACCTGACTTTTGTCCTGTTAACACTTTTAATTAAGGTTTGGTGTTACCATTCCATGAAGACAAAGATTCAACTGTCTATCTTGGAGTGCTGATGTGTTTACGACACATGATTCCAAACTTGGATTGCTCTTTCTCATTTGATCATCAAATGAAAGGTTTGCGAGGCAGCTTTGGTTCTCATTGCTCATACTCTGCAGATGGAACACTTGGTGCTGAACAGATTCAGAACAATCAGCTTTTACAGGTGCACATTTGTCTAATGCTTTATATTCTCAAAAGTTTTGTGTAATCTACAGCGCTGATGAAGGCATGGCTTTTTTAGACAGGAGAGATTTAAAGTGGCTGTCTTGTGTTTCAACTATCTTTTTGCATAATTTTAAGTACACTTTACAGCAGGATAGGGAATTGGAAACAAAGAAAAATTAGATTTAAACTCTCACTGCACATGGTTGTAAGGAAATATTTTTGGAATTAGTTTCAAACAAAATTGGTGAAACTACAGTACAGTTAGTATAACATAATTACAATATCATGAAATATTTCACAGCTGCCATAGGAAATTTTCTAGTTGTAGTACATGTGAGCAATTCAAAGGTTAAATGACTGGGCTTTTCTTTTAACAAAGAGGCAGCTAGAAGCTGTTGATTCTTAAATTACTTTTCCATAATTTAAAACGTTTTCTTCAGGGTCCTTTTTTGTAATCTGTCTACTAGCAAAAGTTAAGTTACATTTGGTAAAGGGGATCTGTTATTCACAAATAACCATCTCACTAAATTGCTCAAAGCTGGAAGCTCAGTCTTCCACTAGATTTTAATTTGTTATTGCTTTTATAAGGTTTATGAAGTGATCATGTACTGCACAAAGCATTCAAATCATAATGTGGTGACAGCCTCGCTCGAAACATTGCTGCAGCTTCTGCGTGCCCCACCTCCTGCTCTTCTGTCGATTCTTCTATCAGCTGAAGGAATTACACCAAGTGCCAACTCTGATGCATCAAAGCAAGGTAACTTTACAATGTCTGCTGGAGGTCCACCTGCAAGTAATGTGTAGAATACCATAAATGAAATACAGAATTCCCTTGAATAAGCACCCAGGTGCCTAAAAGGCCAAGAGCGCTTACTGGAAGTAGGGTGCTTAATCCAGAGGGGTGCTTATTATAATTTGTTCTGATTCCACCGTAGTTGAAGGTTGAAAAGTTATACAAGTTATTATTTTAGTAAGTGAGAGAGGAGGGGGGAGGCTTTCTTTGAGAGGGTGCTTGTTTGATTTTATGGCCTAGGGATGGGGACTTGTCTAGGGGAGGGCGCTTATTAGAATTTGGATGCCTATTTGGGAAAGTGCAGTAATTCTTGTTTAGAAGACTACCCTCTTACTTCATAACTTTCACAATATTCTGCTTATCATGTTACAGTATCATGAAGTTAACTGGTTTAAATGTGAAAATAGGAGAGAGGCAATCATTAGTTCTTAAAGGCTTGAATCTATGGAACAACTTGAAGGGTGTGAATTGGCAACCTTTAAAAACCATGTATGGTAGAATGATGTGATAGAGAAATCTACTTGCAACAAGGTCTTTTAAATATGCCCTAGAAGAGAGAGAGAGAGTACAGTTATTGTATTGATTATAAACTTTAAGAATATTGGGAAAGGGAGAATGTGGGAGATTGTATTTAAATGAGAGAAAATTATTATTTATACATGTTTGAATGGTATTCAATGGTGCTTTTGTCTTGCCTCACTTGCCTCTCTTGCCTCACTTTTTTACTACCCAAGACTTGGAGTTTCTGGAAGAAACACCCTCTGAAGGTGACCCAACAATGAGTGAACTAGAAACAGCTTCCATCGCTGAAAGCACTGCTAGTACTGTAGATACTGGGGTTGGCAGCTCCATTGCAACTGATTTTGACACAGAGCAAACATCAGTTGATGAAATGCTGAGGTCAGCAGAGCTGGATCGCCTGCGTCTCCACGGTGGTTCTGCTGGAGACAATGATCAAACCAGAGAGGAAGCAGAAGAAGGAATTGATGTCTTTGATTCCACAATGAGTGAGGTGAAGACAGAAAATAGAAGAACTACCAGGTCTTTATCAGACCCTGGTTATGCTGCTGAAACAGATAACAATGCATCCATTGATGCAACTCAGAATAAGACTCAAGTATCACATGGAACATTTGATTATGTTGCCCACCGAGACAGTGATGGCTTGGAGTTAACCACCTCTGAGGATGATACCATTAGGACAGAGTCAGTATCAACACAGGAAGTAAGACTGCTTGTGGAGAGAAGTTTTCAGATAGATGCAGTGGCCTGCAAAGGGGTGCCTCTTGTACACTGTGTCCGCCTAATGAGCTCATTTCTTTTGTCTGGAAACCCTGGTGAGATGCTGTCAGACTCTTGTGTGCGTGTGAGTGTTAAATCATTGGCCCTTTCTTGCATCGCTCAAGCTGTTAAGCTCTACCCTGAAGCTTTCTTAGTAAGAATATTACCTGAGTTATCTGAGGATTCAGATGGTAAAGAATTTCATCAATCCAGTCCTCAGCTTGTTAGAGATATTCTTCTCTTTAGTGGACATGGAGATCCACAACTGCGAGGAAGTCTGGCCACTGTGATTGGAAATGTTGTAAGGACAGGACTGAAGAAAGGAAGGTTAGTAGATCAAAGCTGAGTACAGGAATTTATCAATTTGTTGATGGTTGTCAAAAGAATTGTACAGTTTGCTGACTTGCTTAGGAGGAAGCTGGAAGTGATGATCAAAGTTGAGCAGATGCATGCACAATACATGTACATTTCACACATAATTTCCACAGTGAAGTATCTTTAAAACTGCTTTAACTTGTATCATGTTGATTAACCTTTCCTAATTTTTCATTAAATTTCAGGCTTGATTTTGACACTTGGTGCATAGACAACTGTCAAGAAATGGAGACAGGTATCAAATTGTTTGTCAATATGGTGTTTTTATAAACAATGTGTTTGCATTAAAAATTATTGTGTCTTTTCATGCCCTGGTTAACCAGCATGTAGATACAAACTTTATTTACACTTAATAAAGCTTCTTTTCTAGGAAAATTTAAAAAGGGAAAAAAAAACAAAAGCAAAAGTTACTCAAGACCCATCTAACAACTAATTGTTGATTAGTCTTTGGCTGCCTTTCTGTTGTTTGATGATTATCTGTTGTTTGATTGTCACCTTTCAAGTTCTGGCAAAGTTACTGACTAGCTTTTGTCAATAGTCAGCACATAACTCACTGGAAGTTGCTCATGTTTGGGTGGCATGTTTTTTAATTAGGTGTCATTGTTACTGTATTACTACATTTCTAATGAATTTTTTTAAACTTGATTGACCACTGAGTTTTAGAAAAGTTGATGTTTTTTGTTGCTTGTTGGTCAGCAGCCTGTTGATGATCTGTAACTATAATCATTTTTGGGAAATTTACTTGAAGAAGAGAATATACAACTGCATGCCTATAGTTTGCTGTATTTAGGAGAACTGATCTTCAACTAGAGGTAGTCTTAAGTGCCAGAGACATCCTTACCCCAATTCCTTATGTTCTGAGAGTCAGGCCCAGTTCAGATGTTGTGCTTCTACCATGTCAAACTTAAGTGCAATTAGGTTTGACTATAGCACAGCGGAAGCATGACTCTGATTCAGATGTACAGCCAATGTTGAGTGAAACTCAGCATTTACTGAAGCACCCTAAGCACATACTCTGTAAAGGAGAATTATTTTTGTGACTTCCCCAAGGTAACGCAATCCTGCAAAAACTCATTAGCTTAATTTATGAATTTTGTGTGGCACAGCAGGGGTATAACACCTGAATCACTGTCATGCCAGATTTGTGTAGCATGGCAGAGCTTGTCAAACTTAATTGCTGTGCTGAACTTAATTAAAAAGTTTGATTCAGATGGCGTGCTTTTGTCAAACTTAATTCCTAAATTAAGTTTAGCATGGCAGAAGCACAGTGTCTGAACTGGGCCTCACTGTTGCCTGGGTGATGCCAAAGGGGATTTGACTGAGGAGATGGCTGAATTCAGGCTAAACTAGGGTGTAAAAACAGTCTGTCAACTGGGTGATGATGACTTCATTTCGGTGGAGCAAGTACAAAAGTTTCACCAATCATGTTCTTCTTGTGAGAAACTCATCTTACCAAAGTTTCTTTTCAGAGCTGGATAACATGTAATTTCATTTTGATTTATTACAAGTTTACCTCTCTCACAGTTCCATTTGGACTGGAAGATCTAATCTCAGTGTTGAAGTCTATCCTTCAAGATGAGTCTCCTGTTGCCATCAGACAAGCATGTGTTTCTCTAAAGGTATAGCATATGCAAGTCAGAGAAATTCTTGTAATTCAAGTTAAACCCAATAAATTATTTGGGGTCAACCAAAGTTGATTTTTTTGCCAATAATACAAGAAGATTGAAAACAAAAGAATTAGAGTTTGTGACATGTTTGGTCCAATAACAAGAAAGCAAACATTTGTAACACCTCAACTTTTCAACTTGATGTGCTCTTAAGTTTACATTTCCTTTCTCATACCTGACTTGTTTTTCTTAGAGCTGCCTCTTTTTGCTGTGCTCTAGTAAACACTCCAAGGTTGCTTTGGACCTGTTGAACACCATTTCAACTCTAAAAGATAACTCTTATTGGCTAGTAAAGGTTTGTATAGAAAAGTTGTTACATATATAATTCAGTAACAGTGTGTTGATTTCCCAAACCACAGGTACTATACTTTCTCTTGAATTTTTGTTAAATTACAAGAGAGAATGTTTTCCTGAGTTATAACTTTAGTTTGAATTGAGAGTGAAATATCTTCTTATGTAGTGTAAATCATATTTGCAGTGGCAGGCATATCTTTGTGCTGTGATGCACAAAATACTCAAAAATTGCTTGCATTTACCTCCATGTTTTTGGTTTTTGGTTTTTTTTTAAACAGCTTTATTGGGTATAACTCATATGATACTAATTCAATTTCATAATACAATTTACGATATAAATCAAAAGTACAAGATATAACAAGAACAATCATTGACAGAGCAAACCAGAAAAAAGAAACTCATCATAATTTATGGAAACAGTCAAAGCCGTGATTTTTTTGTTCTCAAAACCCTGCAAATTTAAAAGAAACAAGTTTGGTTGGAGTGTCATATAGTAACTACTTGCTAACCTTAGTTGCATGATCGAGCTGCACTGAATATTGTCCCTGTTGGGCTTGGTTTGTGAGGAGTTACTCTCACTTGTTGATTCTCCATCTACATCCTCCATTCAAAAAAAAAAAAACAAAACAAAAAAAATGAATTAAAATAAAGATGAAAAAAAAAAGAGGAGGTGCACATTCATGCAATGTGAATTGATGTTAAACTTTCTTCACCCTGTGGAAAAAAAATCTAACCATACCTTTACAAATCTAAATACAGGTTGAATTATTGGAAATACTAGGGGAAGTGGACTTCAGGTGAGATTTTACAAAGCCAATTGATTTCATATTGCATTTCTTTGAGGTGAACTAAACACTTATTGGTCAACTGCAAGAAGTGATATTAAACTGCTTCAAGTCAGTCACATGACTGTACATAACAAGATGTGTATGAAGAGTAAACTTTTTTTATTATTATTTTCAGGCTTTTAGGTCTTCTAAAACTTAAGTTTGAACACCTCCAGGAGTCAGGGATGCATAAATTGTTTGTAAGTTTTGGTTCACAAAATGCAGAAGATAAACTTGTATTTAAGGCTTTTTATACAATATTTTTCAGTGCACTAGACCCCCTATAATCCTCCACTCATCTCAGTGGTTGTACTGGTTTTGTTTTGGTCATATTGGTTGTTTTGTTTTGAAGGTTATAGTCAATTAATTTTGTTCAGATCATTTCATTTTGGTCATTCAGTCGTTTTGTTTTGGTTGTTTTGGTTGTTTTGGTTGTTTTGCTTATAAGGTAACATGCATTGACATGCATTGGCCTAGTGGTCAGCGTTGTGTTGCATTCAAGGGCAAGTTTTTTTACTCTCAAATTGTGTCTCTCTCCCAAATGGACCACACCTGGCAAATTGCAAGTTAACCCAGTAAAGGACTAACATCTTACTTAAAAGGAGCAGCAATCATTTCAAATGCATCATGCATCTGAAAAAAGCAAGTTCTTTTCATGTCTTCCAATGTAAAACCAGCTCAAGGTCCTCTGTTTTTCAATAAGCTCAAGTGATTTCTTTTTTTTCCACTAAATAATTATCTCTTTTTTTCTGTGAAATAGACTGATTTTCTTCTTTTTGTTGTTTGTTGTTTTTGATTAATAGAAAACTAATTTGCAAGAGGATTTGATTAATAATGTTATTCTACACTTGCTGGAGGATGAGGACATTCGAGTGAGGCAAGCAGCTGCTAAGTGTGTTGTCAGGTATGTAGTGTTATGAGAGCAACAGGGAAAAAAACTGCCTGTTGAGTTCCACATTCAGAATGCCATAAAATTAAACAGGATAACTGAGTGTGTATCAAAGGAAAAATTGAAATTCTGGATGGGAAACATCCTTCTTCCACCATTTAATTATGTAACAATCCAGGCTGTGTTGAGAATGCTAAACAGGTGCAGTTGGTAAAGAGGGGCAATACAAATTACCTCATAACCAGAGAGGGGAAATCTGGTATCTTAGTGGTTGGCTAGAATTTGAAATCAATCTTTTGGAGTACTGTAAGAATAGAGGGGAGCTTGTCTCTTAGGAAAAAATTCTTGTTGGGCTAGTTTCTTAGCTTACATTTGATTTACTTAAAAATGATTAAAGCTTTTCATTTAGAATAAATTTGTTTGAATAATGATCTAAACAAATTAAGTAATATCATAACAGTGGGCAGTGATAAGATCTACAGCATTAGTTCGATGAGATGAAACCAGTGAGAAAAACATCTGGGGATTCAGTGTAACTTTTATACTCCTACTTAATCTGATGAAAAGTAATTATTCTTATAATACTTGTTCTTCACTGCCCAGCATAGTTCCAAGACTCTTTCACTCACTGAACAGTGACAAGCAAGCTTTAGTTGTATCTGCTGCACAGAGCCAAATCAGTGAGTCTTCGCAGGCTTTCATTTAATTTTTTTTTTTTTTTTTTTTTTTTTACCTAAGTGACTCTACACCCTTAAATGGTATTTTTTTAGGGGTACTTTATACAGAAAGATTCATTCACTTTGCAAAAGTTGCAATTTAAAATGATTTCTATTTTTTTAAAGTTTATTCTTCTATGGTGTAAATGTAATTGAAACTAAGAAACAACAAATCAAGCCAGCTAATTTATTTCATTTGAGAGTGCAACTTTTTATCAGGGTTCATAAACTGGTTGCCAGAAATAAAAATTAAGTTGCCAGAAACCAGAAAAGGGAAAAAGAAAACTAAAATGTACATGATGTGCAATATTACGTGATGCTGGTGTACTGAATTACAATATGGAAAAAGCTGGGTGACAGTTGGTAAACATTGCTGGATAGTTAAACTTGTATTAATACCTGTTACACTTACATCTCTGTTATATTCCAGGCAGTCTCTTCATTCAAGAGTCTCACTGTAAGGCTTTCACCCACTCAGTTGTTGATGCTAACCTTTCAAGAATTGTGACACTTGTTGTTAACAAACTGAATCATTCAACATCAAGAACCTGTTTGGTATACTGAATTACCAATATCATCATCATCATCATCATTATTATTAGTACTATTATCAGTATTATTATTAATGTGTATGGACTGTATTATTTTCTTTACAAGAGACTATCAAAGTGTATCAACCTGATATTTTAAATGTAATGACATGCATTTAGCTGGTGGAGAGCCCCAAAAAATTCCTCAAATATGTACCTCATACTCTTCCTATAAAAAGCTTACTCACTAGACATAACTTTGAAAGGTGTTAGTGGCCTCCCTGAAATGTTGGTGTAACTGTGATCTACTGTACTTTAAGCTTGGTTTCAAAACAAATCCAACCTAAGAATCTATGTTTAATTGTTGACAAAATAAAGAGTTTTATACTGTCCTTTCTTGCATAACTATTGATTGGATAAGGCAACCTTTTTGACCTATTGCCATGTGGCTCTCTTGGGAGTAGAAGCATAGGGATGCAATGGGAAGATTATCTTTAGTTCCATAACATGAAAGTGTTTAGGTGAGTAAGTTGCTACTAACAACTTAGATCAGTTTCTTCTCTCAATCTTTGTCTCAACAGCTTGGATGTATTCATGTTTTGTCATTACTGGTTGAGACTTTCCCTGTTGCAAGTTATCCTGAAGCATATGGGTGTAGTGTGTCAATTTCATGTCGAAGTCCCCTGCCCGCCCACCCTATAGGGCCATTTAGTGCACCCTCCAGACCTTCAAGTCCAAGTGCTTCTTGTGCAGGGGGAGGAGGGCCTTTGTCTATTGTGATGGGCAGTATGATGTCGTCATGGCTTGCTTATGATCTCTTTGCACATCAGCAGTTGTTGCAAGTAAGTATTGTAGTCATTATTATTCACTATTAGTGCTCCAACAAGCCTCCCTCTTTAATATCAGCATCTTTGTTTGCCTTCTGTCTAAAATTATACATGTGCTCTAATTGTGTGTTTCAAACTGCCCCTGAAATGGTTAAAATACTTCATTCCCACCCAAACACATTTGTTGAGACACTTACTGCCTCTCTTGCCCCTTTCAATGTTGGTTTGTAAGATGGCATAGACACAGTTGCTATTGATAACATCATAGGGTCTCTGGAAAAGTGTGCCAACTATTTTCAATATATGTCTGGGAGTGTAGGTAACATTTCCATACAAATATAATGGATGAGTTTCTGTGATAGTTATTATTTGTTGGTTTTTTAACTGTGAAATTTATACCACATTTGGTATTCTTTAAAACTAAGCAACCTTTTTGGAGAAATAATTCTTGACTTACACTTTGGGACTTATTGTAGGTCTTACAGTGTGGCAGTTTTTAGAAGTATGCTTGTAGACCAGTTTAGACCACTCACTAGACTTAAGCACACTCATGGGTAATAGTAAAAAAAGAGATGTTCATGGGAAATAAGCATGCTGTGTTATTTCACTTAGATTGCAGGGAACATCTTGTTTGGTGCTGGATGTAGTGGAGTTCATGTTACACTCAAGATGCACTCTGAGAGAGGACCCTCAGATGAGCCTATCAGTTCTGCTGAACATTGGAGTGTGTTTACTGATAGTACATTGGCTCCTCAGGCAGAAAAGCTTGTACTCCATATGGCCAGGTAGAGATACATTAAAACCTTAAAAATTAAAAAATTAATTAAGAGCCTTGTGTGTTAGCTGTCTTGTTCAGTTGTGGATAAAACCTCTGCTAGGAGGATGGCTTTTGTGAAGTGCATTCTGGTTACAATCACAACTGTGCTTAGTGACCTTATGGTTAAGGGTCTCAGAACATTATTCACACTCTTAGGCAAAAAAAATTGGTCATAAGTTATGGAGATCAAGTGTATAACTATATTTGCATATTAATATCAGACTTAGTAACCAATCTACTCTCAGAGGCGTTATTACAGTTTATCTAGATATCAGCTGCAGTGTGTTATATTGATATAGCAAACCATTCTCTCAACTTATTAACCAGGAATTTTTTGGCTGCCAAAGGGAAGAATTTCTGAGATGTATAATCTTGGAAATTGGTGGGTTGAGGAGAGTTAAAATTTGATACCAGCAGGAAATATGAACTATACAACTATGTTACACTAACATCTGATTGAGAGTGGTGGATTGAGCCACACAATTATCCTAGACTTTAGAAAACAAGGAAGCTTTTAAAATGGGACTTCTAAATTTTAATTCTTGTTTATAATATGTTAGAGCTTGTCCCCTCAATTGTGTTCTTTTTCATGGATTAACAACATTTTTATTTTTAGGTTATTGAACATTTTTACCCATGTTGTTGAGCATACTACTCCAGGTGCTCACTCCTTCAAGGTATTGCTGTAAAAATAAACTTTGGAATGTAAATGGTGTCCATGTCAAATGAGTAATATTTTGAAATGTTGTATTGATAAATGTAAGTCTTGCATAACATGCCTATGATCATTGGGCCCTAATCTCTGCCTCTCTATTGATGAATTAAGGCAGGTGGTATCTGACTGAGTGGTCCTTGACTCATGTATTACATCCAGTGATCCAAATGGTTGCTTTAAAAAATGGTTCAATTAAGACATGTTGTTCATTTATGTAAAGTGCAGTTTTATTGCATGGTGCAAGATTTTGAATTGGGATTTAAAATTTTTGGACAATACTCCTAATCTACCTACCTCTAGCATTCAAAACAAGAGAAGTGGTAAATGCCATACATAGAAGGTTGTGATTTTTTATCATCATGAAGAACAGCTTTTTGGTCATGAGGTGTGAATTTTGTTCGTGATTTTTTGATTGTCTATGGCTGGTATAGAAAACCAACCTGTTACAATGGAGTATCACATTTCATTAGGTGGCTTATGACTGTCAATCTGACAGCCTAATGAGGACTATTAGTGTAGACCTAAAGCCAAACTAGCTACATTTTAAGACAAATGAGAAGAGTTGATTACTATGAGCAATAATTTCCATAACCCTCATGGTTCCATTTTTTGTTTAATTTTGTTCCACATCAGATTCCATTCCCAGGGCAAAACAAGGACAAGCAACAGTCAAGTGCCATTCCTGGTGTGGCTGCTCCCCACACCCCTCCTTCAGCTTCAGCTGTCTCTAGTTCTGCATCAACTGTTCCCAAAAGACTGTTGACCAAGACCAAGCGGGCTCTCTCAGAGGCTGATTTACACCAAGCCTCCTCAGATAAACCACTGTCACCCTCTAAGACCCAAGGGGGAGTGGGGCAGTCTGGTGAATCTGAGCAAAGCACTCAAAACCCTCCTCCCAAGAGCAGCATTGGAACATTTCATCATATACCTCACTATATGAAGTTATATGAGATCATCAAGGGAGCCTATGCTAACAACCAGGTAGTGGTCAAATATTTTGAATATATTTTTTTTTCTATTCTAATAATGCAATTTTGCTTTTATTAAGAATAAAATTTATAAGAATAAGTAACCACAGGTAAATATATGATGTGCAAGACTTTCAGCTGCAGCAAAAAAAAAAAACAACAACAACAACAAAAGCAATGCACAAAATAGAGAAGTGACAAATCCTTGAAAATATGCATCAAATCAGTTTGTTTTTAATTTCTCTAAATGGACAGATAATATTTGCTATTTTGCTTTGTTGCCATGTAGCTTTGCAGGTTCCTGTCAATAAACCCCCTCACTCCCATGATCTCATTAGTAATTCTCCTTGCTGTCTGTATACAATTGTTACTTAGTTAATTCAGAGAATTTAAAAGTGGATCAACTTATAATCTCCTCATGATATATTTCTTTACTCTCATACCTTACCTGCTTGGTACTGTATTGATATCGTTAGGAGAAATTCTGTCTTGGTCACTCATGGGAGTCAAGGGCTGAAAGAGCTGAAAGGAACAAATGACTAAGGAACACCTTTTATGTTGTGAACGATATTTTTTGGGGTGTATTTTTTAACACAAACTTGACTTATATATATAAACTTGCAGAGACACATGACTCATCTTGCATAGAAAAAGCTACATTTTAGGTTGCTTACAAGACGCAGTTTTTATGAACTTGGACAGCATGAATTTGAAAGAAATAGACAGTGGGAACGAAGATGATTTCCCTTTCATAAACAATCTGTATTAGATAATTACTTAGTTATAGGTAGAGTAGTGATAACATTTATTCATCCTACTTTAAAAATTTGGATGCTGAGGTAGATTGTATGTTATGGATATGATGCTTCAATTTTCTCCAGATGTTATACAAATCATTGCAGCCTGTTTTGTTCAACACAAGTTTGTGATTTTGAACAGGTTTCTCTGCTGGCTCCAGATCAAGACAAGTTTTGTCAGTTCCTATCAGCAACCTTACATTCTTTGTCTTTACTCCTTGAAGTTTCTGCATTTGCTGACATTGGAAAGGTGTGAACAACTTATATATATATCATGGTGCAACCTTGTGTGTCTTTTCAGAGATTGATAACAAGGGTAATACACGCTTTTATACATGTTTTTCAGCATGTTGAAGAAATACTTGGCTATTTGCAAGTTTGTGTGAAACTGGAGGCCACAAAGACTTTATTATGTGTTCAGCAGGTATTTATCAATATGCTACATCACATTTTCAGTTACATGAGTGGTCAAGGATTTTCATCCTGGAGGTTTCGCCCCAGTAAAAGTCTACCCTCGCCAGATCGCCCCCATCACGACGAGTTTGCCCCATCAATTATAACGTGTTCGCCGGCACCTTTTCCAGTTTGCCCCCAAATCTATAACTCGTTTTCTCAGAGTAGAACATGTTCCTTTATTCGAAGAGAGAAATAATGACGGTCTTAGTAAAGATCCTGATAATGTAAAAAAAAGAAAACCCCGGACTAGTCATAAAAGGAAAGAGTTGGGGGAGGGGGGCGAGGTGGTGATATAAGTGGGGTTGAACTTAATGTATTTCATAGCGCAAAGTCATCGATTTGGGAGTAAACTGGTAATGGGTGAACTTCCAATGGGGCGAAGCCTCCAGATACTTTGTGTAGCGTGAGTTGTTGGATTTGAAACTTGGAGGTCTCAGGTTCAAAGTCTACGCTCTGCCATTTAAGTGAATTTATTTCTTGGTCGTTTTAAGTTTGAATCCTTTGCTCTACTTGGCAAATTGTCAACTTGTTTAGCCCCTGCGTGTTTTCGTGTTAATTGTTGAGGACTACCTAATTAGCACAGGGGTGCTAAGTACAGACAGGAGCCTAATGGGCTCCTGGTACAGATGATAAATTATTACAAATAAGAAAGTTATGTTATTTTATGTTACAGTGAATATACTATGTGTTGCAGTGCTTTGCTTTCAAGAGATCCTTCCTAACAACATTACAGATATTGGAACATGTCCATCAATGTTTAAAATAATTTTATTTTAAAGCTTTTGCGTGCAATGTTTGGTATCAACGCTTTGAGCCAACCAGAGCTGATCCAGAACTTGACAGTTCCTCCCTGTTTGGCTACTAGTCTCGTGACAGTACCACGACAAGCTGAGATGCTTCCCGTGGATAAAAGCTTTTACCACTTTTGCTTTGTGTATCCATTGGTGCTCGTTACGCATTCCCTCCAGAAGTTGAAACATAAGGAAGAAATAAATGAAAAAGGAAAGGAATCAGAAGAGTTGGGGTATGGTGCTTACTTCTGTGATTTCTTAACGTGATTCTTTTCCCATAAAAGCAAAAGACTACAAGCGGTCCCTCCTTTTCAGCGAAGTCCGTCGCTCGAGAAAAATAAAATCAGTGAGAAAGAATTGATGCTACGCGCCGTGGGGAGGCTCTGGGGGTGAAGCCTATTTTTGGAGCGCCACAGTCCCAGAGTTCCCTGCGGCGCGCTAACATCAATTTTTTTTTCCAATGATATTTTTGACGCGCGCGACAGACTTTGCCGAAAAGGAGGGACTGCCCGTTGTCTATAAAAGCAATAGTTTGTTCATCAGTAGGGCTGCGTTTTAACCTTTTTGTCTCAGAACGGAATACGAAAGCCAATCATCTGATGTGTTGACGCTAAATTTATAAGTTGGTTGGTCGTGTAGATTTTCTTTACATGACCGAATAAAGTACCCTTGATGATAAGTTTTCTCAATCCTCTGTAACTGTTCGCTGGACAGTCTTAAGATTGTGAGAAATATTTGTGTAAACACCACTTTGAGAGGCAAAGAGTTGCCAATGTGTTATCACAACTGTTAATATCTTCATCGTTCGTGTCTCGATGTTACCACCATCAGTGATACTTATACTGTTATCGTTGATGTGTTATGTTAGTTATTGGTAGTAACTTTTTTTAACGCAGCCTTGAAACTTTTTTTTACTATGTTGATGTTGTCTTTTATGAATCATTGTTCATTTTTCCTCAGAGGAATTGGTGTTTTCATTAAAAAGCTCCGAAATAAGGCTGCCTCGTCTATTCGGTCACCTGTAAAACTGGACAAGGTATGAGAAGCTGCATTACCCATTCATTATCTCCTCTAATAGATAGTCTCGACTTTTTGGCATTCTAGGTTTATAGGGTTCTTACAATAGACTGAAAGTTTTTCGCTGACTGGAAACCCTCTCCTAGTTGCTGAGAAAGTAGGTGATGTCGCCCCTCGGCCATGTCACTTAAGTCACTTCGTTCCCAAGCTGAGTGGTCTCGCCCCCAATTGCAGTCACATCGCTCCCAAGAACGATCAACGTGCATTGAGTTTGAGTTAGGCCAACCATTTATACCCCTTAGTTCTTTTAGGTCAAACAATGACATAGGGAGTCTAATTTTTGGGGCGACGTAATTACACTTAGGGGCGAGGTCACACAGCTAGGGGGGAGACTTTGCATTGGGCGACTTGGTAAGGGGCAAAGTGATCTGTTTCCGCAGAGGAAACTTAATTTAGGGATTTTAGTTAATAACATAATGAGATGACAAGTTTGAAAAAATGGCCTTTATAAATCTTTTGATCTTTTTTTCTAGCAATCACCCATCCATTCATACATCCGCTGGTTTGAACCGCTCGTAATCCGTGCCTTGAAGGAATACACAATGTCCAGTAAAGTGATCTTGCAGCAGCAAGTCCTAAGCCTCTTAGCTCAGCTCATAAAACTTAGAGTGAATTATTCTCTACTGGACGCTGATCAGGTGAGAGCCCCGAACAAAATTTTTTACTTCACAAGAAGATTAAAGCGATTTCTATAGGATTATGTTTTCACTTGTTGTCAAGTGCTTTATCCAAGGTAACATTTCTTGCTAAATGCATGAGCTACGAAAATGTGTCAGAAGACTTTGCTGCAGTTGAATTTTTTCTTATTTCATCTCGATTTCCTGCTTAACTCCACTGGAGCGCTTTTCGATAGTAAGCAGCTTTGGGAATTTCTGTATTAAGGTTTTCGGGAATAAATGGGTGCGATTTTGTTTACGCAGGTATTCATCAGCTTTGTTCAGAAACAATTTGAATTCATTGATGCAGGCCAAATAAAGTGAGTTTTTTGTTTATATAAAACATACAGCAGCGTTGACTCTAAACTGTTACGGATAACTGATCCAAAAAACGTTTAACACAAGTCGTTTGTTTCTGAAGAAGCGTTTTCAAATCGAGAGTCGTAAAACCAAAACCAAAGTAATCTGGGATCTTTTTAACCCTTAAACTCCCGCGATCTGATCGTTAATTCTCCCCGCCAGCTTCAACACACTCCCTTGTTAAACAGTTATAAGAATTTGGTTTTAGATCAAGGTAACAACTGCGTGATAAGTTTGAGAATTCTCATCATCTGTTTGCTGGGTAGTGTGTGGATATCACAGGAAGACGTTACCTGTGAAACACTTCCTGGAGTTAAAAGGTTAAACACTCGATCGAAAAGTATTTAAGAAAGATTGTCATGCTCTGCATTATCGTTTTAACCCTTTGACTCACGGGTGTGATCAATATATAAATTCTCCTTACAGTGTTAATATACTAATAAGTAGACAGGTCATGAGAATTAGGAAAATTGACAAGAAGATTATATCTTAATGTAATAAATAATTATAAGGAATGACGCAGAGACTGAGAAATATATGATTAACAGCGTGGTGAACTGATTGGCTTTCAGTGATGTCGAATTTGCTCTTTGCTTTTTCATAATCAAACCTATTGATTTCAATACTCTGTACTGAATTTCTTAACAGATCCTGCGACACTTTCCTTCCACACATCTTCCAGTTTCTTGTGTTACTGTCCTATGAGTGCTTTCAACCAAAGTTTAATCAAGCGAAAGCAATTGTGGGAATGCCAAGAATTATCCAGCTTTGTGATGGTATCATGGCGGGAGGACAGCCAGCCCAAACTCACGGTACGCACCACCCCAGTGCTTATGCTCTTCTTACAACATTACGCCAGTAAAAAGTGGTTCTTATTTCGTTTTGGTCGGTTTGCTATTCTTCAGTGAGTTGTTGCCGCTATATTTTACTGACCTGCAGTTTATAGGGGGCCAATTATTTACTTACGTCACACTGTTTCAACAGAAATAATTGACTTACATTGTTATCAGGAATATAATGAGATCCTGTCTAGCCTGATTTTACCCTAGACATACGTTGCTTGAGAACCATTTCAGCTTGTTGGCGAAAATCTTGTGTTGTTATTTTCGGGATCTTACTTTTCGTGATAATTTTTTTTTCAGCCATTCCAGCTTTACAACCAATAATCCATGACTTGTTTGTCCTGAGAACTGCTAGTGGTAGTGAAATCGGAGGAGATCTGGAAACCCAAAGAGAAGTTGTCGTCTCAATGCTGCTTCGTTTGGTGCACTATCCCGAGGTAGGATGGAATGTCAGTTGGTTGGTGAGACGATCAGACAGTAAGAATTTAGATCAGGCATTTGGTTGGTTAGTTTGTAGATAATTAAGCCAATTTCTGTCTTTCCGCTGCCCATTTAGTGATTCAGACCACTGCTTAGTTACTGTGACGTTCTGGAGGTCAATTAGTTGGCCAGCCAATCAGTTGGTCAATCTGTTACTTAGTCACTCAGGCAGTCAGCCAGCTAGTCAGTCAGTCAGTCACAATTGCTTTTGTCAGTTAGACAGGTGACTGATCTTCCAGTGAACTAGGACATTTAAGAAGTATCGTCTGGTAAAAAGGAGCTAAAACTCAAAGTGGCTTAAAATGTTATTTTACTTACAGGTGCTAGAAATGCTGGTTACAGTTTTGAACTGCTACCAGCGAGATGAAGTCAAATGGAAGGACCTATCGGGACAAATCATAGACCTGCTCCTTCCTCTTCTGGCAAACCAGAAGGTAGAATTGTTAGTTCAAATTGACAATTAGTTTGTGAAACAATGAAGTTTATGACTTCATTTTTCACCTCAACTTGTCTCAATCAAACAAATAAGCGTTTAGGATGAAAAAATTGCTAAATTTCTGAGTGATTATTACTCTGTTCTTATCAATACAGGTCCACGTTGAATCAGAGTATGGTATTAAGATGTTACAAGCTGTGTTCACCGCTGTTGCCCCTGGGTCATTATGGCCAGTAGATGTGCTCTTGAGGGTTTTGTTTTCCAGCTTTGATCAGGTGTGAAACTGTTTTACAAATTGTGTTATGTACGTGACGCTACCGATGTTGCTTATCCTAGCAGTATACAGGGTGCTTGTTACCATCGAGTTCTTTGTGGATCAGTGGAAGAACATCGGACCACAAAACTAAAGACAGTTCTAAGGTTTAGATCGTCGCGGGTCAATCAGATTTCTTTTTCTTTGTTACAAATCGGAAATCAACTTTCTGTATTTGTCGGCTGCACCAGAAATTTACCTTCTTTCTTAATTTGTTTCCTAAAGTTAAACTTAGCGCGAATTTTTTGCTGATTTAAGTAAAAAGAGTCTTTTTTTCCTTGCTCAGAGAGACATAATTTTTCTGCTGCACCGCTAACTAGATTGCAGTATTAATAGCAAATCAGCCTCTCAACAGTTTTTATTTTTCATCTCTCGCTAAACTCTCCTTTTCCAATTTTAGTTATTAGCTATTTTTCCCTCTTGAATACTTCTTTCTTAACACAGTCAGATGCATTCAAGCGTTGGTTAGCTACAATACTTGTGGTATTACAAACTCTCATGGCACAAGTAACAGAAGACATCCTTCTGTCGAGAATTGACCAATCGGGATTTCGACCTAGATGTGTCAACATGATGGACAAACCTTTGCTACCCATTGAAGTGAGTATGAGAGTCGGCGAGTTGTGAAGAAAATACGTGGAAGAGGAGGGGAAGTAGTAATGCGATCCCATCATTCTTCACTCCTTTTCTCTAATTCCCATAAGATTGCAGTGATCGTAAGTATCACAAGAAAATCGGCTGTGAGATTTTAAGAGAACTGGGGCACGCTGGAGTTCTGAACATGTACACAAACCTTTCTCTATCAGCTTATCCTATGGGACGTTCCTATGAGGTCCCTTCTTTAGAAAATTCTTCCTTTGACACCAATCCACAAGCTTCTTCAAATAGCATTTTGAAAGGGTCATGTCGCTTTCCTGTATCCCTCTCCGTCTCTCTCCTTCTATTTTCCCATTTACCCATTCTACATGGCAATTTTTCCAATGAGGTTCTTGTTTATCTTAAAATGTGTTCATTTTGTGTTGTTTTGTTTTTTATTTTTACAGGTTTTCGTAAAGTTCCTCTTTTACGTTGTTGAAACAAGTGCCAACCATGTTAACATGGCAACAAGAAACTCCTTAGTAAACTTGAGATCACCAAGCGAAGAAGCCTTCTTATTGAAACTGTTTGGCAGCTTGCTTTCATGTGTTACACATCTGTTAAAATCAGGTTTGTAACAATAGCTGAAGCGAAATGCATTATGAAGAGAACGCTTCTCTAGCTTACCATAGGATCTTTTTCCCATTTGTGCAAGACAAGCGCAAGCACGAGCACAGGCAACTTTTCTTCGAGCGTGTTCTTGTGTGTGTGAGTTATGGAGAAGTATTCTTGTCTCAAACGGCGTGGGAGTTAGCTTGTATTAATCCCTTGACCCCTTAGTGTGACTAGCATCTAATTTCTCCTTACAATATCGCTTCAGAATCACATATAAAGGTTACGAGAATAAAGAAATGATCACCAAATGAAGAAGCTCTTGATTGTTGAACAAACTCTTCTTGTCAACACCTTTGAATATGTACAGAGAACAGTATGGAGAATATGCATAGTGATGTTAGAGCAGAAAGGATCAAGGACACCACTGAGTAATTTGATATTGCCCTGGACCACTCTTTCTGTCATTGCATCTCTGTTTGTGCTTTCAATACCGTACCACAAATGATAATTTTATCATGACAAGTAAAATTTCTCTGTTGATGTTGTTAGCAAACTTCAAGAAAGTGTCCCAGTTAGCATCTTCGTCACCCATCATCCATCCAACTGTGGACTTAGTCAATGAAAATTTGTCTCATCTTGTGGACACCCACCCAGTTCTGGTTCTACAGTGGTGTCATGTGTTGAGACAACTGAAGTACACGGACACACAGTTCTGGTTTGGGTTCCTTGACACAGGACTACGTTTGAGCACTGGTAGGAAAAGCAGAAAATTGCACTGTTTTTCTCCCAGCACCAGCTAAGAGACTCCTTTGAATGTTTGTTTGCCATGAACTGATTGACACAGATCCATGGTCCTAGTTAAAAATTTTACAGAAGCATCCAAAACCAATTGTAGCTCTTTCAGAGTAAGGATAGACGATATCTTATTTTCGTATATTTTCTACAACAGCAACAACAACAACAACAACAACAACAACAATAATAATAATAATAATTATAATAATAATAATGATATGTATTATATTTTATCGTCTCAGGAGTAAGAGTTCACGTACAAGTATCTCGATTCTTGTTAATTCTTTTTCTTTTTTTCGGTAGCCTCTGGTAGCAATATTGAACTGGAGGGTCCGACGTTGAATAAAGATGTGACTCGATCGGGAGTGATACTGATCTACTGTGACCTGCTTATAACACAACACATGGTATGTTTACTCTGATGAATAACTGGGATGCGTTTTATTACAGAATGGCATAAATGTGAGTTACCTTATTCTGTGGAGATTTTTCACATAAAGCGCGAGAGAAAAATAGTTAGTCTTCCCTGAAAAATGTGGCGTAATTTTTTCAAGTTTATTTTTGCAGTCCATACTGTTTTGTCAATCTGGACACATATAACTTTCCTCGTTCTTGGTGTTTGATTAATCTTTTGTTTTTGCTCTATTTTCGAAACGTCTCGGGGAAGCTGTTTTAGCGCCAGTAACCTTCAATAAGTAGCTGGCTACAAAATGTAAATTAAGCCAGATTTAACTCGGTGACGTGTAACCCTGGTTTAGGATTGAAAGGAAAGTAAACAGCAAGAGAATGTGAAACAGAATTAATCCTGCTTAAACGAGATCTCTTTTTCATGCACACCAGGAGCAGGGATCATTGGATCAGTCTCAGGTCGGGACCCTGCTAAGGATGTCTCTAGAGGACCTTGTACAGATGACAGATGAACCACCCATACAGGGGTTTCTAAGGTAAGCCGTCTTTGTTTTTGAAAATCTTTTTTGATATTCATGCATTATTGTCTCCTTCAGGAAGTACCGTATATAGAGGAAAGCTCATTGAATGAGTGAATTGACTTTTAGTAATGTATACGGGTGAGTGAAAACATCTCCTTTTGTCAAAGGAAGTTGAAAAATTTGACTTTGGGGACAGAAACTGCGCTCTGTGGGGAAATCCTAACTATATTACCAAGAAACAATTGCCAATTTTGACAATCGTCAGTTGATAGGCCACTACACTCTGTAATTAAATGACACTCCTTATTTGCCCAGCCGATTGTACTCAAAGACTCCTTGTTCTGTTGTTAAATCTCAGCATTCTGTACAGTACTCACGAAGGAAGCAAGCTTCTGTTAGACTCATTTAGTTCCTCGAGAGCTCTACATGAGACAGTAAAACGGGTAGGCGTTTGATTATTATTAAAGGTTGTGCGATAATTCTTAAAACCTTGGAGGTTCAGCACTCTTAGTTAAATAGAGCGCTTTTCGAATGAGTGTCGTTAAACCAGTTATCACAACTGCCGATCAGAACTAAGAAAAGCATCGCAACGAGTCCTTGAGACTTAAAGTAAAAACAAGC